GTCCCGGGCGCTGAAGGGCCTCGGCGGCCTCAGGGAAGCGCAGCCGCGGCCGGGGGCTTTGTTGGTGCCCGGGGAGCTGGAGCGGGGCCGTGAGGTGAGGCTGCGGGACTCGGCCCGGCAGCCCGGGGAGGCCTCTCCGCAGTTGCCCGCGCTCCCCCGAGCGCCCCGCGGGGCTGGAGCCGGGCGCCAGCGCCCGCCGTGCCGCCTGGGGGAACGGCTGACGGGCTCCGAAGGGGTGAACGGCGTCGTTGCCAGAGACTGCGCTTCGAGTGCTTCAGGCAAATGCACTTTTCGAAATTTGCTTCCCTGGTGCTTGCGCCCGTGCTGATACGGTTTATCGCCTCGGGGGCGGGCACGTATTCTGCTTTGAATAGGACCGGCAAGGTGCGGTGGCGTGTGCGGAGTCACTCGGGTTTAGAATGCGCAAAAGAAAAGGGTGAGGCACTATCAATTTTACTGCAAGTGTACCTGTCGTGTCATCAACAGCGAAGTGAGGCACGCTTGTTTAAATCGCAACACGCTGTGCTGCGCTTGCTTGGAGTGTACGCTATACCTTGGAGTTGGAGCCGCCGGTGAGCTCATGTGGCTGTTCGCAGCGGCTCAGCTGATGAGCAGTAACATGTTATGCTGCTCGTTTGAGTTTGGCAGAAAGGCAAGAAGGCCCGAAGGGCGTAGTGACCCCAACCCTGCCTGCTCTGAGGGAACGACAGCCTGGAACAGAACGGTACTGGTAGATTTTTCTCTCTATCCCATACTGTAGTTAGCGTCTTTTCAGCTGAGGAGTGAAAAAGAAGCCCAGTGCTGTTACTCGGCTGACCGTGAAGGTGGTGTTAATGAAATGTGGGGGAGGGAAAAGGGAACATCAGCTACAAGTATTTTACAGTTTGATCTAAAGACCAAGATCCTGTTTACCTTAGAATTGAACCAATAACCTTTCATGGTAGCGTCATACAATTATGGTTAAGTCAAAAATTTGCTAACGTGCTACATTTGCATACTTTAGTGTTTCAGTCATGGTTAAAAATTGCATTGCTCTTATAAAAGCTATGCATGTAGCAGTCATCGTTATGTTACTGAATGACAACAGTAGGCACTGGTGTAACATTTGGTCAGTCGGAGCATCCTCATAATGAGGAGTTTTAGCAGTTTCCGAAGAAAAGTACCTCACAGTGATGTGCACACATTGTTGGTTTTGGAATTAAGAGATAAAAATAGATAATTCTTATGGATTGTACTTCAAAAGATGAAGAGTTACGGGGGGGGGGGGGTTGCCAGGATAGTATCTTTTTTCTGGAAATGGTGTCACTTTATGCATTTTACGGTAACACTGGAATACTCAGTGAAGATAAGAACAAGTGAATACAGAAAGTATGTACTAGGAAAATGACAGCCTAGTTGTTAGCTGTATTCCCTAACTTCACTCTGGTTAGATATTTTTAAACCATGAACTATTACATTATCAATGAAGTACTTGCAATTGTGGAAGAAGGGAGTGAAGGGAAGGTAGCCAGTCCTCGCAATGGTACTGGTGAGAAAAGGAATCTGTTTCCAAAGGGCATTAGAGCAAAAATGTTGCAACTTCTCATGCTTAACTACTGCTTACATTTAAAAAGAGGAGGATAGGTATGTTTGTCCCAGTTTTGACAGCCCCATTCTCTTCCACTTTATTTTGGGCCTCTCCCCGCTAGCAGGAGGAGAAGCTGACCCCACTGCCTGGACCATTACACTGATAAAAGAGCAGTTCTCCCTCAGTTAATGCTGTGCTATGCTGGAAGCGATGGTTCTGTTCTGTCTGCTAGTTTTGCTGAATGTTTCTATCCTTTTGATATCATATGCAAAACATCTGGTATGTTGTTCCAAAACCTTTAAAAGTTGCCTCAACAAGTAGGACTTTTTGTGACCCATGTGACAGAGAAGCAGGAACTTGTGGCTGAGAATGGGAGGGAGAGCGTGACCTCTCCTCAGCAGTCGCCTCAGCACCTACACAGTTGTTCCTGTCCCTGAGCTGCTGTGGCAGAAGAGATGACACAACTTTTGGAGCTGGATCACAGAACCGATACCGTAAGAAAAATAAAGAGGGAGACATTATTTTTAAGCTGGAGTGTTTCTGTGCTCTGGTCCTGTAGCTGTCTGGCACAACAGAGGGGGTAGTGCTGAGGGAGAAACAAGTGGCTGTAGGCAGGGACTGCTTGAGAAGTGGCATTGCTGTCAGGTCAGAGGTCGGCCTCCCTTTTGAACAGCATTCATTCTCCATATGTGGCTGTATCGCTTCTCCAGCTCTCCGTAAAAAGTCAGAGAACTGAAGACACATGACTGGCTGATAATTAAATTTATCTTACAAGGGGCAGGTCGCTTGCCTTTTTTTTTTTTTCCTTGAAAGGGAACCCTAGAAGGAGATACTGTAATACTTTCCTAGTGTTTAATGGTGCAGAACCCTCTGTAGAAAAAGAAATTAAAGTAAAGGCAACAGAAATATATTATACAATTGCTTTTTATGCACAGAGGCTGTTTTCCTTTGAAAAATATTTGATTTGACATGTAAAGAATAAGAATTTTTGGTAACTGGCTAAATCAAAAGGCTGACCCAGACTTGCCCTTTTCTAGATAAATCTTACCATGCTTGTGTTCAGTGGAACAAAGACTTTTTTTTTTTTTCTGGTTGTAGTAATTAGCTGTAAGAGGAGGACAACCTTTTCTGTGCCTCATTAGTAAATGTTCATCTACAAATGACCGAAGGAGTATTCTTAAAGCAAAATTGTTTAAGATCTGACACTGCAGTTTGCCACTTTCTTGTGTGTGCACCTACCCAATTGCTTTAAAGTTATGCTATCAACTGACCTGCTGATGACATCAGTTGAACTTCATCTTTTAAGGGCTAAAATGTGGTTAAATGTCAAGTTTGTAATTTGGTCAAGATGCGGTGACTCTGACAGAGTCACTGATTGCTGCAACTATTTTCTAATACTTCAAATATTTTCTAATATTTTCTAATACCTCAAAGAAAGGTTTTTATCCCAATCATATTATCAGCTTCCCTTGTGTGTCCCCTCACTACTAATTTAAGACAACCAATAAGTGACAGAGACAGAGAGTTTCTCACTTAAAGCTGACAAAACAATCATTTGAAAATAAATCAGAAGTTTCCTTTTCTTTATAGCTCTTGCCTCTTTGTTCTGTTGCAAAGGGACTGCAGAATGGTTTCCCTTACTGTCTTACCTCACAGTAGCCTGCTAAAGGATCGACTTTGCTCTATTATCTTCAGATTGAAATATACAACCTGTTGTAAACCCCTGATCTTTTTCCCATAGAAGATAGTTTAGCTAGTTATCATCTATGCTGGACTTACACAGGAGGCTCCCTGACCCCCTTAACCAAACAGTAGAAGTTTGCATTTGTTTTTTTTGCTGTAAGTCATTCAACGCCCCCCCCAAATCCTCTCCTCCCGCTCTCCATGTAGTGTTGTCCACCGACCAGAGAAGAGAGGTCCTCTTCTGCTGTCTGAATCAGTAGTGAGTATACCTAATGCTGTCGGAGCCCACCAGTGTGTTGTCTTTAGTCATTGTGGATTAATACTTCACCGCTCTGAGTTCAGCTCTCTGCTGGGAGAGGCACGTTGAAACAGTTTCACCCAGACGCTACAGATGTTCTAGTACATCCAAAGTCGTCCTGAAGTTGGGCTGGATGACTTCTGTTGCTTCTCTCCTAACCACAGGCTCTAACTCCCTATCAGAGGGAACTAATTGATTAAAAACTACCTCTTTTTTTGCAAATCTGCTTGGACTGGCAGCCCTTTTGGATTCTCACTGCTAATTCTCAAGTCTGTTAGCCTGTTCTTTTTGAAGTCTGTTGCTTCATTTTGCTCTTGTCCGTCCTGCTTAAGTATGCATTATTTTCCGCCCTAGTTTGTTTAAGCTAAGCCACTTCATAACAGGAAGTCTTAATGGGTTTCCCTGGATGGGAGAGATGTGTGTTTATGCTTCAGGTCAGTAAGCCAAAGATAATATTTTTTCAAAGTTTGCCTGTTGTAATGCTTGTATCTTTTTTCATGGGGATCTTGATTTAAAATGACGGGTTTGCTTTTTAGGTGCTTGGGGTTTTTTTGGTGCAATAGTTATGGGTTTTAGTACTGATGCCACAAAACTGGTTTGAAATATTTTTGTGTAATATAATGTGTTTTGTCAGTAATCCCAAGCACCTTCTGAGCGTTCTCTGGTTAGGCTTTTATTGGTAATGAATGATTAGAGAGTGGTGTTAGCACAGTATTCCCGCATGTGTACAATGTAGGCATAGTTGTAAATAATACAGTTTTTCTTAGCCAAACTTGCAGAAGGGTATGGGGGGGGGAAAGGCCATTGCCAATCCCTTTACCCTATCTGACACAAACTCTTTCGAGTACTTAATCTTGAATATGTAGTTTATTTACTAAACTTGTTTGTCAGAAGATAGATACCTTATCAGAGTGTGGCTATGTTTGTTTTGGGATACCTAGGAACAGCTAAGAAATTAGATGAGACGTTTTGATGAATTATTGAAATAAAGAGTCATTTGATCCTCTGCGGGTAGAAGGTTTGTGTCCATCTGTGGAAAATACATACACATATATATATATATGCCTTAAAGGAGACAAAAGCGTGTGGGACTGTTACTTTTTTTACGGCTTTATTGCAGTTGGTGTCTGTAGTCACGCTGAGAAGGGTAAAAGCTTCTCTGTTAACAAAAGTGAAATTACTGGGTACAGATGCCGCTGGTGGATAAGCGAGTAGGTAGGTTTGCCTTTGAGGGTCACAGCTAAAAAAAAAAAAGGGTATCTTTTATAAGAATTGTTTCTATTTTTTAAGGTCCTCTCTTTGCTTACACTGTGGTAAAGGAAGTACCTTAAAAACTGCATACTTAAAGTCCATTTACTTTACAGCAAGATTTTCCCACCTGATAAGCCATGAATGCTTCTTTCTATAATAAGCTATCTTAGCAGGCTTTTTAGTAGAATTCAAAATGCTTTAGCAAAAATATGCTTTTCAGAGGAATGATTTCATATTTTTGCCAAGGTAAGAGAGTATTATTACGGGGAATAATGTTGTAGGGAGCAGGGACTTAAGAAATTAAGTAATTTGTGACCTTTCAAAAAAAAAAAAAGTCGGCTTAAAACTATTAGATACAAAAGAACTAAAGCATATGATTTTCAGTTGTTTTCCACAGCAGTTTTCTTTCTACTTGAGCAGATTTGAAAAATGAGAAAAAGGCAGGGAGTTGACTTTGGTATGCTGTAACATCAGCAGTGAAATGCAGGCTTCCGAGTAACAGTAACAAGTTTGTTCTACATGGCAGTTTCCTAAGGTGTAGGGTGGCCTGCTAGTGAGGTGGTGTTAATTATTATTAATAAAGGCAAATTCTGAGTTGATAATATCCCATCCTTGTACGTATTCACTCTTGAGTGATGCAGGACACGTGCACTTGAATTGCTGAGGACCGCCTCAGAAATGTTCTTTGTGCGACTGATTTTA